CCCCCCCAAATATAAAGACCCAATCCAAAAATGGGTATCTGAAATGAACAGACATTTCTCAAACAAAGAAGTAAAAGCAGCAAGTAAATATATGAAAAAATGTTCCATATCAGTGGTTATTCGAGAGATGCAGATGAAAACAACACTGAGATTCCACCTCACCCCACAACTTTGCTATCAACAAATTTGCCATCAACAAATCACACAATAACAAATGTTGGCGGGGTTGTGGGGAGAAAGGAACCCTTCTCCATTGTTGTTGGGAGTGCAGACTGGTGCAACCACTATGGAAATCAATATGGAGATACCTCAAAGAGCTGGGACTAGAGGTTCCAGGCATCCCTCTGCTGTGTATCTTTCCAAAAGAATTAAAAGAAAAATATCATAGTGATATATGTGCACCAATGTTTATAGTGGCACAGTTTGTAATAGCTAAAACTTGGAAACAGCCCATTTGCCCATCTGTTGGAAACTGGATAAAGAAATGTTTTTTCTATAAAATGGAATAATACTCAGCCATAAAGAATGAGAAATTAGAGTCATTCATAGGAAAATGGATACATATTGAGGATATATGCTTAAGTGAAATAAATAAGTCACACATGTATAAATACCGAATAGTCTCTCTGGCATGAAAAACTGTAATAGTATACAAGATCCTAATGGGATAATTAATAGTGTGAAATAGGAAGAAAAGGGCTAAAGTGTAGGGAAAGTGGGAAGGTAGGGGAAAGGGAACAAGGGAAAAGCAAAAAATATGAGAAAATGAAAAAATGAAAATAAAGTGTTTGTAAATGGGGAGTGGGGGAGGAGGTGAAGGGAGGGCAGAGACAAGGGGAAAAAATGAGAACAAGACCTGTCATGTGAAGGTAAAGGATCCCAGTAATGAATGTAACTGTATTGTATACATAGATTGTACTAATAAACTCAATTAAAAAAAAAAAGGAAGATACTTCTCAGATGAACAATTCGAAATGGCAAAGAAATATATGAAAAAATGTTCAGCATCACTGGTCATTTGAAAGATGCCAATTATCACATCACTGAGATTCCACTCACTCCAGAAAGAATGGGTGCTATCAAGAAATCAAATCAGTAACAAATGCTAGAGGGGCTGTAGGGAAAAAGGAATCTTTCTTCACTTTTGGTGGGAGTGGAGACTGGTGCAATTGCTGTGGAAATCAGTGTGGATATTTCTCGAAAAACTAAAACTAGAGGTTCCACTTGGCCCAGCTATACCTCTTCTTTGGTGTCTTTCTGAAAGTATTAGAAGCATCATAGCACAGTGATATATGCACACCCATGTTTATTGCAGCACAGTTTGTAATAGCTAAATCTTGAAACAGCCCAAATGCCCATCAACTGATGAGTGGATAAAGATGTATTTCTTAAAATACAATGGAGTACTACTCTGCCACAAAGAAGGATAAGCTTCAGATATTTATAGCTAAATGGATGGATCTTGAGACCATACTCTTAAGTGAAATGAACTGGACACACTAAATACCACATTGTTTCTCTGGTGTGAGAAATTCAATGTGGAAACAAGAACTGAGATATATAATGGATGTTGGGAAGTGGGCAGAAAGTGTTCAAGTGGGAACAGGAACAAGGGAGGAGTGAGTGAGGAAGGAAGGAAGTGAAAATAGAAGGAAAAAATGGAAACAAAGCTTTTGTACATAGGGAGGGGAAGGGACTTGAGCAGGAAGATGGGATAAAAAATAGATTAATTAGGGCTGGTGATTTAGCTTAGTGGTTCTGCTGCCTGCCTTGCAAGTGCAAGATCCCAATTTTGACTCCCAATAAACCCCCAAAAATTAAATTTTTTAAAACTTTAAAATATTAAAAATGTTTTTCTTTGGTTTTTACTCTTTGCTATATTCTTTCTATATATTACACCCCACATTCTTTTCTCATTATTTAACACTATTCTCATTATTCTCTTTTATGAGCATGTCTGTGTATTTGTGTCACGATTACTCACTTCTTTTTTTTTACCCCAGTACAGCTTTCAGATGGTAAGGGAATTCTCCACTGTTCATTTATACCCCTTTCTACTTTTATCTATATCTCCTTGCCTGACTTCTTTCCCTTCAGTATTTTTTGTTTGTTTGTTTTTTGTTCTTTTTTCATTCTCACAGTAAGAGGGTCTCAGCGGATTTACTTGGGAAAGCCCCCAATAAAAAAGCATGAAGTATCTGGGCTAGAAATGCAGATACATCTATTGGCATGGTTGAACAGGGGTCAGAGTCTTTGACTACAATTCCTTTCCAAGGCTACAGTCCACTGGCTGTGCCACAGGTCTGATGTAGGGGAGGGTAGCTTTCCTTCATGAGAAGTAAGGCCTTTGTAACTCCCTGTAGTTAGGCTGAAACATCACATGAAGAAATGTGCCCTAGAACCTGACTCCTCAGGTAGGGTGATTTGTTCCACTGAAGCCCAAAACATAATGCAAAGCTATGATAATAAGATAAACATGGGTTTTGATGCAGGACTAGCCAACTAATATCATGGAACATGATAGCTAAATCAGAAAGAGATCTATTCCTGTATGGGCAGTTAACATATGGCAAAGTGGCAGTGTAGAACAGTTGGCAAAAACCAGTCTTTTTTGTAAGTAATGCAGTATCAACTGAATATGCATATGGGCAAACAATGAAATCTGACTTTACATGTTGATGTATAGCAATAGATTTCAAATGGAATACAGATGTAAATGGGAAAGCAAACTGTACCATTGTTAAGATTATGGAGGTTATCTTCTTCATGATTTCAAGGTGGAAAGAACTCTTCATTTAAAAAAACAAAACAGGCCAGGCGTGGTGGTGCACGCCTGTAATCCCAGCACTCGGGAGGCTGAGGCAGGAGGATCACTGTGAGTTCGAGACCAGCCTGAGCTACATAGTGAGTTCCAGGTCAGTCTCACTACATAGTGAGACCCTGTCTCAACCCCCCCCCAAAAAAAACCAAAACACAAACAAACAAAACAAAACAAACAAACAAACAACGAAACGCTTTATAAGATACACAGTTTAAGGTCCGGGGATTTGGCTCAGTGGTTCTGCCACCTGCCTTGTAAGCACAAGGGCCTGAGTTCAATCCCTGAGACCAAAAAAACAAAAAAAACAAAACTCTAAATAAGACACATCCATGAAAATGAAAAGACAGAGAAGCTGAAATAGATTACAATTTAAAAAATAATACTAAATAAGGGGAAAAAATGAGAACCAAGACCTGTCATGTTAGGGTACAGGATCCCAGTAATGAATGTAATGGTATTGTAGACCTAGATTGTACCAATAAACTCAATTAAAAAAAAATAATACTGAACAAAAGACACTCTTAATAGAATACAGTAAATCTGCATTCTATTAGGAGATAGTATTTGCATTTCCTGTGAAAAGGGCTCATATCCAGAATATGTAAATAATTCCTATATTGTGTATGAGAATTGCTTTTTGTTTTGTTTTGTTTTGTTTTGTTTTTGGTACTGGGGATCAAACTCAGGTCCTTGTGCTTGTGAGGCAGGCCAGCGAACTACTGAGCTAAATCCCCAGCCCTTGTGTATAAAAACTGAATGGGAAAATCCAAAAAGAATGACGGCCAATATGTAAGTAGGAGGCCAGCCCATCCTCTTTGTCTAAGAGATGGAACCCTGTCTTGCAAAGTTCCTAGCTGCATAAACCACGGTAGCCTAGGTAAAAGAGTTGCCCTGTCTTTGCAGTGTAGGCACACCCAGCAGGATAGGTAGGAATGTAAAATGCCCACTGAGGACCAATTCCCCCAGCAACAGTACACTGAATCACAGTGTAAAAGGCATTTCCTACTTCACAGTGTTGAAAAACACTGCCACAGAGAACATGTTTCACCATGGTAGCAAACAATGTATTTCACAGTCTGGCCATGGTGATATTACTTCCTTATGTGCATTCTATGAGCAGTCATTGAAAATTTTATCTTCTCCCCCAGATGTACTATGCTTTCTTGCATGCTATTCTCATTGTACCTTCCTTCATTCTTTTTCACAGGGCTTAAGAACTCAGCCCTTCAAACCCACTCCAAGCTTTCATCCTCCTTTGAAACTTTCCCAACTATATCATGAGTACTTATCACACTTTCCTTAGAGCAGAATATTGTACACATCCAGTGGTTTTATTATCCTTTTCTATCTAGTCTGCTTTCTCTGTCCCCCAAAAGAGTAGAAGCCCCTTGAGACTTGACTGCTTGATTTCATTTATTTTTGAATCTAATACCTAGCACAAGGCTTGAATAAAAAGTCATTAATACCTTACTTTGAACTCACAAGGAATAGTCATGTATATACTCTGCACCCCTCACACTGAATTCTTCAATAAAGGAAATTTCTTTTTCCAGAATGTCTGCTCTTTTAAAGTCTTCAGAGTACTTACCACTCACTGCTTAGTATTTATAGTTGAGCTGGTTTTGAGTGGGATGGGTCAGTATTCAGTGCTGATTCCAGAAGAGTATTCTTCACCCAAAGAACTATCTCCATATCTCCATCCTAGAAACAAACCAAGGTAGGAGGGGTCAGAAAGGCAAATACTGAAGAGTATAGGAATGGAGCCAGGCTTGGTGGTGCACTGTAATCCCAGTGGCATGGGAGGCTGAAGTAGACACAATGAAAACTAGGTTACACAGTGAGATCTTGACTCAAAAATCCAGAGTATAGAACTGGGGTGATGGCACATCAAGAAGAAACCACAGCCTCTTTTGATTGCCAAAGGCAGGAAGCAGAGCAAAGAAATTTACATCTTCAAAGGAGCACATCAAGGATAACCTCCTGGTGTTCTGCTGAGGCCCTTCACCCCTACCTATAAGTATGTATTAAATTTTTTCTAACATTCTCATGTTCTGAATGAAGTTCTTTCTCTTCAACTTAGTGTAGCTCAGTGGTGGAATACTTGCATAACGTGTGAGGCCCTGGATTTGATCTCCAGGACTGAAAACATAAAAAATGAGCTCCAGAACCATGATGTTCTCTGCCTTCAATTCAGGCCTAATGACTTGGAAAGGGTGGTAGCACTACATCAACACTGAGACTTTCTAATGTGCTTTCTTACTTATATTTGTAACCTCAGTGCCTGGTGATCATAGCTGGCTCACAGCTTCATGGTGACCTGCCTGAAGCAGTGACACAGCTCCTCTATGAGGCATGGATATCCTTTCACCTAGCCAGAGAGTGTCACCTGCCACTTGTTCAGAATGTGGATGAAAGCAACCTGCAATTTCTATCAATTAGTATTTATCTAGACCCTCTCTTAAGTTAACTTTCAAGGATCAGAAGAATTTCAGGATTTTTTAACCAGAAATGAGAAATCACAGTTAAAATAGAGAAGGGGTAAAAAAAAAAAAAACTATAAAGTAATTATAAAGTCCAAATTCCTTGCCCGAGTTTCACATACAGTTTAGAGATTACAATTAGGAAATCTGCTAGATAGGTCCTCTGGGAGTCCCACAGACAATAACAAAAACATGTTCCAAACTGAACTCATGAACTTTCTACCACCTTTCAAATCTGAGCTTTTCTCATTGCTATTAGGTGTGATGCCTCACATAGTCACTTAAGTAAATCCTTGAAAGTCACCCTAAAACCAGTGCCAACTCCAATGAAATCTGTTTCCTCTTGTCTTTCTTTGAGACAGGTTCTCATTATGTAGTTTTGGCTGACCTTGAACTCACTAAATTGCTCAGGTTGGCTTCAAACTCAGGGCCATCCTCCTGCCCCAGCCTCCCAAGTGTTGGGACTACAGGTGTGTACCACCATGCCCAGCTTCCTCCTGGGCCCCTCATCTCTAAGCCTTTGCATATGCCACACCACACCCAGAAATATACTCAAGGAAAGGATAAGGTGTCAGAAATAGAAGCTCCTTGCAAGATTATTTTTGTTTTGGTTGAGGAATTTCAGGCAAGTTCAAGGGTTTTTTTGTTTTGTTTTTGTCAGCAAATCAAGAAGTCTGGGGCTTTTTATTTGCTTATTTATTTGTTGATTTTTTGAGATAAAGTCTCACTATGTAGGTCAAGCTGATCTTGAACTTACTATGTATCCCAGGCTGGCCTCAAACTCAGCAATCTTGCCTCAGCCTCCCAAGTGCTGGAATTACAGGTGTGCACCACCTTGCCCGGGGGCGAGGGCTTATTAAGAAAAAAAACAAAACTATTTTTTTTATAGTAACTTATCTACTGGGATTCCTACCTAGAGATATTCTGCCTTCTGTAAGGAGGTCAATCATGTAGTTAGTCATCCCTGAAAACCAAGAGGTACATCAAAAGCAAAGACAGACCAGCAGGTCACTACTTTCAGAATCAAGGAGGATATATGGTCTCTCTCTCATCAATCAACATGTTTCCAATTTGAAAATTTAATGCTTGATCTGTAAGACTGGTAGCAATAAAAACAAAGGCTTGCACAAAGAGAAATAAACATAATTATTAGCTTTTACTAAACACAACCTATATTCTGAAGTATGATTTTTGAATGGCTTTACCTGACAAGTTGTCAGACTGAATTCTCAGAAGTTATCTTACAGCCATAGACATTCTGCTGATGGAGTCACTTTCAGTGACTTTTCACTTCTTCAGTATTCCAGGGGATTAAAATATCAAGTAAAGCTTTTATATTTTATTGTCCTTTACGTCTGACAGTTACTTCTGATGTACGATGAGGCTTCTCAGTATCTTCACTACATACATCATGGATGACACTTTCCTTTGGCATATATTTTCTGGTGCTTAGTAAGATCTGAGCTTCCACGGAAGGCTTTTCCACACTCATCACACTCATACGGTTTTTCTCCAGTGTGAATTCTCTGGTGATGAATAAGAGTTGGGATCTGACTGAATGCTTTTCCACACTCCCCACACTCATAGGGCTTTTCTCCAGTGAATCCTTTGATGGTTAATGAGGGCTGAGTTCACATAGAAGCCTTTTCCACACTCCTTACACTCATATGGCTTCTCTTCTGTGTGGATTCTCTGATGTTTGATAAGGACTGAGCTCACACTGAAAGCTTTCCCACACTCATCACACTCATATGGTTTCTTACCAGTGTGGATTCTCTGATTGATGCTTGATGAGGTCTGAGCTCACACTAAATGCTTTGCCACATTCATCACACTCATATGGTTTCTCACCAGTGTGGATTCTCTGATGTATAATCAGGTGTGCCCTCACACCGAAGGCTTTCTTATACTCACTATGGATTCTTTCGTTTAGAGTGAAATTTGAGCGCACACTGAAGGCTTTTCCACGGTGATCACACTCATAGGGTTTCTCTCCTGTGTGGATTCTCTGATATTGAACAAGGCCCGAGCTATGGGCAAACTTCTTTCCACATTCACTGCATTTATACTCTCTTTCTTCTGTAGGCCTGTCTTCAGGGTTTTTTAACTGGTCCTCAAACTGAGAGACCTTTTTATATTCAGGAATCTGTAAAGAATTCCCATTATATTTGCTCAAGAACTTTTGGTGTGGGTTCATCCTTACAAAAATCTTCCCTTTAATGTTGAAACCTCATTTACAACTGTGGTCTTGATTCCTGAAGTAATAAATGTATTTTTCAAATGTATTTCTTGCTGCTAAATCAATATAACATAATATAGACTTAACCAGGGGCTTTCAAACATGTTCAGTAATCTTGTGACACATCAATCATCTAATAACAAGATAAAATGGTTTCATTCAGCTTGTACTAAGACACAGTTAACATTGTAGATACTGCAATGAACAGCTAACTCACTTAGGTATTAAAGCCTATCTTCTATAAAGGTATCTTTAAAAGATCCTGAATACAGGGCCAGGGATTTAGCTCAGTTTTGGTGGCCTATTTAAAAATCATGAGGGCTGGGTATGTAGCTCAATGATAGAGATAAAGCACTTGCCTAGTATGCATATGCCCTGGGTTTGAACCTTAACACCAGAAGAAAATATAGTTCCTACCTTTGAAGAATTTTTATCATTAATTAGAAAATCATAGAAATTGAACACATTTGAAGATATGGTAGATGAAGCATTACAAGAACAGAGAATATAGAGGAACAGAAATTTACCTCTTAAGTTTCAAAAGATGACAATACATCGGCAGGTACGTTTCTCAACTGACGTGTCCACACTACTTGAGATAGAAGAGACATGAAGTAAAAAATGCCGATCTTTGCTGCTGTAGCAGCTACTGGTGCTACGATAAACGGTATCTTAGAAACAGTCCTCTCTTTTGCAATTGTGACACAGCAATCCTTTCAGGAAGTCCCACCAGTTCATTCCTCTATAGTTCAGACTAATGCATGAAACTGCTGCCATTCTCTTAGCCCTGGGAACAAACTCAATTTTGTTTACAAACTAGATAAATTTGCTCTAAACTCAAATTACTACTATTGCCTTCCTCTGATCTTTTCTACTTTATAAATCTCAACATGATCAACTGTCAGTCTGCACCCTTGATGTGATCAAAATGGCATTTTACTCTGTGCTCTTCCTCTCCAAACCCCATTATTCGGTGCGACAACACCACCATAAAACCCCCGAACAAAAACGAAACAAAACAAACCCGGTGAAATCCCAACTGACTTACAGTTTACAGACAAAACCTCAAAACAATACAAGGGAGAGCGCATGACCCAGGGCCAAGTGAAAACCAGGTCTCTCCATTCGTCCGATGGAACTCAGCCTGGTAAGCAATGTGAGTGGGCCACTGCTGTGAAGAGGGGCTAAGGAGCCCGGGCAGAGTGGCGGTGCTGGACCGAGAGCTGGCTGCCTTCGCTGTGCAGGAAGGGAAGAGGAGAAGAGGAAAGGGGACACGAGCCAGAAGGGACTGGAGGGACAAGGATTAACAGGCCGAAACCTCTCCAACCCGCGCCTGTCCAGGCAGCCAGGACTGTGCGCGCCCGCGAACATCGACCTGCGAGACACGGCGGAGAACTGGGTAGCAAGCTATAGCGAACAGCCGACTTCCGGCGAGGGCACCTGGTTTCCGCTCTAGGATCCCCGAGGCTTCCCTCTCACTGGTCCCCCAACCGACAGAAGGCATTGAAGGAAGGATTTCACTTCCCCTGTGGAAGGAATCTTATACCTTTTATTTCCGTCTACCCTGCAGGGCAGACATTAAAGCCCTCCTCTCATATAAACTGACAAATACATTTTCTAAAGTGAGAACTAATGAAACAGCCTAGGTGGTGTGAACCGTGAGACGTGTGCCTCTCAGTGGGCAGGGATTAGGATTTAGAGCCTAATCTCAAAATTAATTCATAAATTTAACACCATTTCAATAAAAATATCAATTTTTAAAGAAGATTTTAGCATTTAAATAGAAAAATAATACCTGTAAAAAAAATGAAAAAGAAAAAGGTCATTTAAGGGGGGACCTGTCCTAAGGATTTTAAAGAAGACATAATTGTGTCTCCAGGCAAATGATACAAAATAGAAAGTCCTGCAATAGACACCATCACACGCAGAAACAAGGTGTAATAGAAATAGCACACATGAAAAGAAGTAAAATGTATGGGGAAACTGGATGATCATCCAGTAAGGCATTAAATTGGATTCCTACCTCACTACATACTAGGAAGTATTTTCAACAAATCAAAGTTCTGAATATTAAAAAATAAAACCATAAACGTATCAGATGTTAAGTGTAAGCAAGTGTCTTTTATAACCTCACTGTAGAAAGATCTTCCTAATGATGAGCCCAAATCCAGAGGCCATAAATTTAAAAACGGATAAATCTGACCCATAGAATAAAAATTACTGCAAAATAGGGCCAGGCGTGGTGGTGCACGCCTGTAATCCCAGCACTTGGGAGGCTGAGGCAGGAGGATAGCTGTGAGTTCTAGACTAGCCTGAGCTACAGAGTGAGTTCCAGGACAGTCTCAACTACATAGTGAGACCCTGTCTCAAAAAACCAAAATAAATAAATAAAAAAAAACAAAATTACTGCAAAAAAAAAAAAAAAAACAAACCCTCAAGTAAAAGTCAAAGACAAAATATTCAGAACATATTAAGACCTTATCTCGGACAATGGTCAATAAACATGGAGCTCCTGAACAATGAAACTGTGGGAATGATAGAGCTGAGTTGGATTTTTCCTGTTCCAGCCTCTTAGTAGTCTGAAGCATTCAGGACATCCTTGTTAGGAGATCGCACATGTTAAAATATAACCCGCCCCAGCCATTTTATATTTTACTTCCGGGTTCTTTCCCGACTCTGAGTCCTTTCTCCCGCCGAAATTGTAAAGCGCGAAACTAGAGCCTCTCCAAAGTGCGAAATTCAAAAGACAACCTGGCTTGCGATAGGATAACAAAGACCGCTCCTCTCAAGGAAGGATCTTCCGCTGCCCGCCCTATAAGTATCCCAGTACTTCCTCTTCTCACTCTGCCCTCCGCCTCCTGCTCACCTCCCCATAATAAAAATCTCCTGCCGGACCTCTCGGTGCGTGAGTGGTATAATTGGGTAAGGGGCACCCAAAGGGGGCTCGAGACCCCTTTCAATCCTGATTCCACTAAGTAGTAGTTTCTTTTGTTTTGTTTTTAGAGGCTTGGGCTGGGGATGTGGCTCAACCATACAGCATGTGCTAGAAACTGTGAGTTCAAACTTTACCAGTGAAGGGGATGGAAAAGGGGACAGTCTATAGGCCCCTTATTTCAAGAGGAAACCAGAATACCAAAGCTTAATGTTTACAGCTGTCAAGTAGAGGAAAGAATCTCTTCAACTGACATTTCAATGGTGTGTTCCCAGTGGCACTGGAGAGAGAATTATTCTTCCTCTGATCCCTGAGCTGGCATTTTTTTGGCAGGTTATTTTCTATGTGCAAGAGTTGGGACCCAGAAAAAAAACTAAACATATGAATGTATGATGGAATCATTATAGAAAGCAAGAAATTAAAGCAGAACAGGTCATCCCAAGGAGGTGAGGCAAGGAAGATATAATTACAGTGAATATCTGGATAGTACTTGTGTGTCAGGGTTTTTTTTTTCTTTCTTTTTTCTTTTTTTGGTACCAGGAATCAAAATCAGGTCCTTGAGCTTGCAATGCAGGTGGAGAAACCACTGAGCTAAATCTCCATCCCTGTATCAGGAATGTTTATATGATCCTCTTACCAGCTCTCAAAAAATGGTTTTTATCATCCTCATTTATACACGAGGAAATAAAGGAAACATTTTGTAAATTGGCCAAAATCACAAGTAGTCTGATTTTAGACTTAAGAGTAGGGAAGACAGCCAGAGAAATCTTTTAAGACACTACAAGTTTTAAGGTGGTTTTATAAATACCTCTTCCTTCCCACCTGCTATCTGGGTCCATCCACTTCCTCAACGTTTAGCTACTTCCTCGAAGATAACCTAGCAACCTAGAATCCCCACTCCCCTACCAGTACTGCTTCCCAGTACCAGAACTGATGTTCCTCAGGTGGGACGGTCAGGAACTGGCTTCAGCCAATGTCAACAGAGTTGCTGGAGCCAGCTCAAACGGTGCTGGCCTGGAGAATCCTGTTAATAGAATCCTTGGGGGCTGGGGATTTAGCTCAGTGGCACCGCACCTGCCAAATGCAAGTGCGAAGTCCTGAGTTCGATCCCTGACACAAAAAAAGAAAAAAAAATTATTGGGACCAGCAAAACCAGCTTCTCTAAAGTTGCAGCTATGCACCTTTCCTATAGTCTGCAGTTCAGTAAGATTTCTTTTTGAGGCGTCTTGTCCAGGCACACTTCTGTAAAAGAAACATTATTTTACTCAAAGAAAAGAGAAAGACGAAGACTATTATGGAGAAAAAAAGGTATAAAATTAAATAAGGAGCTAATTTGTCTGTGAGGGCAAGTCCTGGGGAGGACGTCGGACCTTATGAGAACGGCCTCAAGGTTTTTTGAAGGTGTCGCTGGTGTGGATGGAGGTGACTGCTAAAGGGAAAAGCGACCATTAGAAGCTGAAATAGGTATCTATTTTGCATTCAAAAGGAGATGTCAAGAGACCAAGAAATGGAAGTCTTTCTTAAATTTAGAGCACCTACAGTTTTGTCTTTTGTTGGAAAAGCTAGTTGCGGATTGGCAGGCAGTGATACCAATTGTACAGGGAGCGCACTTGTGGTTAGGACTCTATAGATGGCAGGACAAGGGTACAGTCCCAAAAGGAGGCAGAGCCACTGAGCCGTGGACACCAGGCCCTCCAGGGAAGAAGTCTGCAGAGAACATCCATTTCCCTTCCGGAGCAGACAGCTGACAACTCCCAGAAAGCCCCGCGGAAGTCTCCAAGCACTTCCGAGGCTGCCCGAGGGGGCCGGAAGGAGGCGGGGCTTAATGACGCAAGCTTGGAGGAGACGCTGGTTTCCCTTTCCTCCCTGCTTC